AAAGGGCTGATTGGGAAGCAAAAAAAAAAAAAAAAAAAAGACAGCCTTGCAGCCTCTTAGGGCCCTACCCTTATTCCTCTGTTCCTGAGGAACCATTAAAACCGGTCTATACCCCCAGGCCGATAAATGGGCCCCAGAACAAGGGGGATTAATAAGGGATTCTGCTGGTATTCAGAAACAAACTGGGGACACAGAGGAAGGCTGTAAAACACTTCCTGATTCCTTCCATATGGGAAGAGATGCTACATCAGAAATGCTCACTCGATTTTTCACAGGACTAGGACTGGTGGCTGCCACCTGATGGGTCCGCAAAGCTTGCCCACTCCGTGCCTAAAAGCACCCAGGCAAGTTCAAACTGCCTCCTTTACTCGACGCTGTGTGAGGACAGGGACCGGCCCTGGAGAGGCCTGGCAGTTACTTTACCCATCAGCCTCCATGTAGAGGATTTAAGCAGATGTTGGTCCTGATGGACACTTTTACAGGCCAGATGGCAGCTTTTACCACCTGTTCACAAAAGGCTATGGAGGTAGTCAAGGTGCTTTTTAAAGAGCTCACCCCCAGAGTTGGGCCGCCCCAGTCCCTCCACAGCGTCAACGGGCCTTCTTTTACCTCCCAGATAACTCAGGGTGGCCATTTGGCAGCCTCAGTCTTCTGCAAAGGCAGAGACAGCCAACCAGGCCCTAAAGCGGGCTCTGGCAAGACTTTGACAAGGGACGGCTGAGTCTGGGCGCCAGCTGCTGCTAATAATGCTCATGGGAGTTCAGAACTTGCCCAAAACTGGGCTAAGTCTGAGCCCATGCAAGATGTTCCATGGGAGGTAATTTCTATCCTCCGATAGGATAGTAGACCAGAGGCCAGGAGACTCTTACAATATCTCATTAATCTGGGTCAAGTAAAACAGGGTGACCAAATGTACGGGAACAGAGTCCTGCCAGCTCCTGGCCCAGGGAGACTATCCCGTATCTGCCCTGGAGGCCAAGTGCTTGTAAGGTTTTAGAGAGAGGGGTCTCCCACTGACCAGTTACAGACAAAATGGAAAGGCCCCTTTTCAATCGTCCTTGCAACACCCACTGTAGTGAAAGTGACAGACATAGATAACTGGATTCATCTTTCTAAAATAAAGCCAAGCTGGGCATAGTGGCGCATACCTATAATCCTAGCTCTCAGGAAGCTGAGGCAGGAGGATTGCTGCGCATTTGAGGCCAGCCTGGGCTACATAATGAGTTCACAGCCAGCCTGAACTACACAGCAAGACCCTGTGTCAAAAACCAAAGAATTGAGGCTGAGGCAGGAGGATCGTTGGGAGTTTGAAACCAGCCTGGGCTACAAAGTGAGCTGAAGGCCAGCCTGAACTGCATAGCCAGACCCTGTCTCAAAAGGTCAAAACACAAACAAACAAACCAAACAATTAAAAAAATGTTTAAAAAGCCAGTTCTGTCTGAACTTTCTGAAGAACACAATCACCCAAAAGGAAAAAGTTATTCTTGTGAGCCCATGTTGAGCCTTGAGATTTCTCTTCAAAAACTCAAGACTCCAGTGCTGCTGCAGAGAAGTAAACAGGATCTTGCTGAGGCCATGGGTCTCAGATATGACATTCCTCTCTGACATACATTTTTCTCTACAGAAAGTGTGAAAATCTGACCTGCCCCTCCTATCCGGGCTAACAGGAAAGCTTCTTATTCCCATCACACAGGCAGCTCCATGTTCACTAACTCTTTCTTCGTTGTCTTCTACCAGGTTTTTCTTTCTTCAACCCAGCCAGGGTGTCACCACTCCCCAAGGTGGGTGGAGAGCCCATGATCCCCAGGAGGTCGGCTCTACGGCCCCTTCCGGCTTGAAGAGGCTGCAGAAGACAGAGCCCTCCCCACCCTCAGCAGCCCACAAAGACATGGGACTTGTGCTCTTAAGGGGAGATGAGACGTCCCCTCAAGGCAGGGCACAGAGAAGTTGGCAGGGGAATAAGCAGGACCCGTGAGTCACAAGACCCCAGGACACGTGCACCAAATAACCCTCCGGACCCTGGACGTACACTTCTTGCTGGCTCCCGAGACACATGCAAGGATGGTGAGAGCTCACTATCGTGCCTCTTCACGGTGGCCCACCCTCAGGCTGTAGGGTGGACTTTTATGTTTACTTTTCCTCTTTTTTACTCAACCCAAGTTCTCTCCTCAGAGCCAGTTTCTCCCTTACCCTTCGCCTTCAATTTTTCAAAAAAAAAAAAAAATGTGGAACTTTTGCTGGGCATGGTGGTGCTCGCCTGTAATCCCAGCACTCGGGAGGCTGAGGCAGGAGGATCATTGGCAGTTCGAGACCAGCCTGGGCTACAAAGTGAGCTCAAGGCCAGAACTGCATAGCGAAACCTTGTCTCAAAAAGACAAAAAAAAAAAAAAAAAAAAGTGGAACTTTGGACCATTTTTATTTCATTCAATCCTTTGTTCGAGACAGAAGGAACCTCCAGCCAGTACCCCAAAGCCCAGCGACACTGGGGGGCCTCAGTTTCCCTGTGTATAAACAGATAGTGGGCACTCCGTTGGTGCCGGCCTCGAGCAGGGCCGGAAGTGGAGGCCGGGGGAAGCCGGGTGGGTGGCCCGGGCCTGGCTCCCATCTCCTTAATCAGCGCCTTGGCAGGGCCCCTGGGTTCTGTTCTTCCCCGTGGAGCCTCATAAATTATCGAGCTCCAGACAGCTGCCCTCGGTGCCCCCTGGCCCAGACCCAAGGCCTCTGCCACCTCCCTGGGGGTGGCCTCAGGGGAAACTGAGGCCCAGAGAGGCGCAGGGGTGTGTGTGTGCTCTTCTCGGCTACTAGAGATGGCAGCCCTGGGCTCGGGCAGGGCTCGCTCTGTGACCTCAGACTCGGACTCCCCCTGGGATGGGGTGCTCCCTCCCTCCCCAGCTGGTATGCTATTTCTAAACATTCCCGGGACTCGGGCTGTGCCTTCGGCCATTGTCCCGGCTTCTGCCTGCCTTGACTGCCAGGCTCCGTCTGGGTCTCTGGGGTCCCTTGACCCCACTCCAGTGTGCGAGTCTGGTAGGCCTCGGGGATGTACACCTCCGGTGACCCGGAGCCCTTGGCTGTGGGGAGGCTGGAAGCTGGTACCAAGTCCCTTTGGCCACAGCTGGCGGTTTCCAGTCCCCCGCAGCCCCTCCCTACTGGGGCTCAGGTAATAGTGGCCGTCTCAAGTTCCCCTGGCCAAGCCGGCCAGCAAGAGGACCTGGCATCAGGGTCCTCTGTTGGCAGCAAAGCACAGCAGAACCCTCACCAAGCACTCCTCTTCGGCCCTAGGAGGGACAGCTCCTTCTCTGTGCCTCACGGGATCGGGAATTCCAGCTTCTTGCAATAATGCTAGAAAAACAGAATCCTTAAACTTAGCCAGGTATGGTTTCACACACCTGTAATCCCAGCACTTGGGAGGCTGAGACAGGAGAACTGCCACGAGTTTGAGGTCAGCTGGGGCAACAGAGTGAGTTCAAGGCCATCCTGGACTACAGAATGAGACTCTGTCTCCAAAAACAAAACAAAACAAAAAGAATCCCTGGGCCTTGGACCAAGGGAGGTTGGGACTCAGCACATCTCGGATTCTGGAATTCTAATAAGCCCTGACTTCTGGAATCCTGAAGGCCTCAGATTCTAGAACTCCAAGGGACCGAGCTTCTGGAACTCCCACAGCAAATCTGTCTGGGTCCGGGCTGGGGACATGGCCGGGAATGGGTGCAGGGTGTGGGGCGCCCCACTCTGGGCCCTGGGCCAGGTGCCGGCCCCAGGCTGCCGGGAGCTCAGAATGTGCCGCTCCGTTCCCAGGCCCCCCTGGCCATAGTGCGAGGGGCACATGGCTGGCCCGGCTCCCACCCAACACCCTGCTCTGGCCTGCCCCCCAGCCCGGCCCCCCAGCAGCTTAGACTCCCTCTCAGGGCCCCCGACCGCCGCACTGAGCGGGAGAATCAGCCCTGCTACGCCACAGCGTCCCCTCTGTGAGACAGGCGAGGGCACCCACCCACCTGGGGCCTTGGCCGTTCTGCTCCGGCCCGACGGCCCCTCCCCCCCGAAGCAGTGCCCGGGCCTGGGCGCCCGTCCTGCACCTGTGGACAAGGCGGGAGCCCCGGGACCTCGGGCACCTCTGCTTCTCGAGGACTCTGTCCGCGTCTCGGTGGCCACTACGGACGAGGCCGGCCTCTGCATCGGGGCCTGTGGATTCCGATCCAGATGCTCACCGCGTGGAACCCTCCCATCCCGACGCCCACACACCTGTGTGCAGCACACCCGGCCTGCGGGCACCAGCGTGCCCACCTCCCTCACCACAGCCTTTCGCTTCCGGGACCTTTTCCTGTTTTTGACTCCAATGAGGCCCCCCCTAAGCCCGAAGGGTGCAGATGGCTTCATGGCCTGGGCACCCTGAAACGCGTGGCCCCCTCTGAAGCTGGTTTCCTCATCTGTGCATTGAGAGTGTGGACCACGAGCACAGCGTAGGCGGGAGCGCTGGGCCTGGGACCAGGGCGGGGACCCAGGCCACACTGCTGGGGGTTGATGGTGGACCTGTTACACGCGCACACACACACACTCACACGCACACTCGGGTGACAGGGGAGATGGGGACAGCTCTCCGCACAGCCAATCGGATGAACGGGCAGCCACACAGAAGACACACAGAGCACAGACTGTCAGGCACGAACACATGGACAGCCACGCACAGCCGTCCAGAGACACCGCAGCCCCAGCTTCCGGCAGCCCCTGCCCTGGGCCAAGGGACCCTCAGGACCGGCCCGGCCCCTCCCAGACCCGGACAAACCTGAAACAGAGGTCCAGCCCTGGCCAACCCCCTCGCTCTCGCTGACTGCCACCGGCAGGGGACAGACTGACACCCAGCACCGGGTGGAGACACACCCACCCACTGCAGGGCAGGGCAGCGGCCGCGCCCCGCGGAGGGCTGTCACCCGTGGGCGCCTCCCGCCGGGCCCCCCGCGTGAGGGCGCGGGCCTCACCTGGGAACCTCGCCTGGGCCTCACCTGGCCAGCACTGAGCTGCCGCGCCGGGCGTCCGGTGGTCCCGAAAGCGGGTCGGGCGAGTGCTCTGGCGCCTCGAGGCCGGCGGGAAAGCAGGAGGAGGGCAAAGGGTGGGATACGGGAATGCCGTCCCAGGGGCCTCCGGGGAAACTGAGTCACGGGGCAGCGGGCCCGAGAGACGTCGGGCAGCTGCAGGTCGCGGCGGGGCCCAGG